GGGGGGGGGGGGTTAGATTGTCAGACAGACCAGGCAGGCTTCAGCTGGAGTCTTCCTCTATCTGCCCTGTCTGTCTCTCTCAGTGTACTTACAGCGGCTGCCGACCTGTCCTTTCCCAGAGGGCTTTGTGAAAGGACAGAAATGTGATGCTGCTACTCAGACGTAAGTTGCAGTGGAGTCTGTCTGCGGTGGCCATGTTGTATTTCCCTTATGTGACCCCCACACCCCCTCCCTATTTTACCTGAGCAGAGACTCCAGGCGCCAGGCGCGGTGTAACTGCAGTCTCAGGTATGCTGGGTGGACGCAGGAACCACTTCCCAGGACTTCACCTGTGCCTGGGACTGAGTGACAAGGGAAACAGAATCAGCTAGGAAGACTATTATTCATAATCAACTCTACCTGAAGATGTAAATTAAATTACCTCTCTGTCATTTTATAGCTGATAAAAACGTTATCACAACCATCATTTTAATCCTATAGTCTCTTAAACAAAATTATTCGGTTAGAAATAAGGCCTTGGTTGCAGCTATTTTCTATATCGATTTATAATCAGGCTAAATATTACGCACAGCAACAAAATACATTATTAAGGTCATTGAGGTAGGTATATTATAAGTATTATATTTCCCGAGTTTAAAACAATTGGCAATTTAGTTAGAAAATAACTGTTTTTTGCAGCCTTAACAGTATTAATGTATTAATTAAAATTCATTCAGAAATGTTACTTTATTTATTCTGATTTGTTTGCAGACATGTTTTAAATATTCTGTAATTACTTAAACCTGTTGTTTTGAGCATGCATATATGCCTAATTGGAATCAGAACATTTGAACACTGTGGCATTGACTTCCTGCACTCTTTATCCATGTATGTTCCTCTTTCCTCCAAATGTTGTGGCATTGTCATGTGTAAAGGCTTAGGATGATTACAAAATAATTTGAAAATAGAATAAGTACGTAGAACCTAAGTTGAGGTTTGCTCCATCTGTCAACATATGACAGCTGCAGAGCAATTTTCATTGTGGTGCGAGTGGTTTTGTGGTAAATGTGCGCTCTCATTTATCTAAAATACATCCTAAGCTGTGGCTGCCGCTTCATTATTTGAGCAGGCCACATGAGTTACAATGTGCATTTGTTCCGAAACGAAAGATCTTTGCCGAAATGTGACTGACTTGTGTGCATATGTTTTGAGGAAAGAGAATTGTACAAGGCTTTTGTGGTGGTGAGGGAGAGAGAGTGTGTGTTTGGGAGTGATTGCAATATACAATGAAACACTTTGGGGGGGCAGTAAGAAATAGTTTTCTGTTTTAGTATCATAAGCTTTGCTCTTTAAATGTCAACCCACTTTTATTGAAAACCATTAAAGCATCATAATTACGCATAAGCAAACAAATGCATGCTTTACAGTAGCCCTATTTTTATCTGCATGCTTTTTATATCATCTTTATCCAATAGAAGGAAAGTAATAAACAAAACAGTACAAGCCAAGACAGTCCAAATGATATCCAATCCATTAAACCCATTTATGCAAGATGTTTTAAAGTTCACATCAAATCAAATTCATCTAAAAATCTTTTACGCTTTTTTGCTCTTCACATCTTTAATTAAGGTGCCACGCTGTTATGAGTTTGACATGCAATGATGAATGTAGAGCCAGTCCATTAACATCTGTGCATATTGAAATTACTCAGAATAATCTGAAACTTAATTATGTAAGAAATATTCATTTCCACCCGATAAACCAAAAGACAACATTACATCAATGACACCCATCTGCACATTCATTTCCACTTTGCTAGTGCTAAAATTAAAAAAAGAGGGGAAAAGGAGAATCTTATTTTATTAATTGAAACACATCTTATGTACCTGCTAAATTAGCTGATGCTACACTATGTAGCAGCATAGGCTACCTATTGAAATTCCAAAGACACCACAACTATGTGGACTATACATTTTGCAAATACTAATGCAATATGTCACAACAATAGACACCATTGACTTCTGTTTCACTTATTTTAATGTGCATCTACAGGACGACAAGCCATTAAACGGTGTCAGGCTACTGACTTATTTAACTATTGAATAGATACAAGTAACTTTGTCTTTGCAACACACTGATCAAGCTACATTGATTATTTTAGACTAAAAAATGTAAAGGTCTTAATGCTAACATAGGTCTAAATGTCTAAAAAGGTATTTTATAACCAAAATACATTAAAAAGTAATTTCTATGCCATGTTCATTTTTAATAACTAATGGTTCATGTATTTATCTCAACTAGGTAAGACTTCTGTATTGCCCTCCACCATGTTATCAACTTATTTCTTATGACAACTTACAGTATTTGTGTCTGTATTTGTTAATGCTCTCTGTGCAGGGAATGCGTTATTTTGTACTAAGTCAGGGTAGGTGCACATGCATATTAAAGTAAATGACATTTTAATTGTAGTTTTAATGAAATATGGTGAATAAATACAACAGAATGTGCTAACCTTAACTTACCTTCTCATGCCTTGCCGTAAAGCATGGTGAGTTGCTGCGCTCTCCTGCGCAGCCGCTGTGGACACCCTCGAGCTTCTTTTTCCTCACACAGAGAGCCGCTCGTTAACAGAAACACACCGTCAACACTGCTAACATGTCAGACAAGAAACAGACCGTGGACCTGGGCTTACTGGAGGAGGATGATGAGTTTGAAGAATTCCCAGCCGAGGGTAAGTTTATAATGATAATATTCTAAATCATGATTGTTTTGTTTTCTCTTTTACTGGCCATGTGTATCTGTTATTGCTCGCTGCTGCGCCCTGCAACAGTGACTCAGCTAGCCTAGCTATGTTAGCATTAGCTAGCCGGTAGCTAACTTTCTTGTTATACGCAACACAGTCATAACACTTATCTTACTTATACGTTTAGTGAATTTGTCGACACATAGAGCTCACTGTCCTCCTATCTTACAGTCATTGTGCTTCTATTATTTAACATTCACTTGTTATTCAGCTAGAGTCTATGCATTAGCTCCATTGCTCAAGGCAATGCTAACTAGCAAGCGTTAGCCGTTCAGGTAAACAGTGAGCCAAAGCTAGTGAGGTGGACGTTTATTCTCAATAGCACCTATGTGGTTTTTAAATCCTTTGTTGTCTACAATTGAGGGTTTGTCATCAGTACTATGTTTGTAATTTCCTACTCTATAATTCCTAGATTGGACCGGGCTGGAGGAAGATGAAGATGCACATGTTTGGGAAGACAACTGGGATGATGACAACGTAGAGGATGATTTCTCCAATCAATTGAGGTAAAATACATTTCACAATGTTTAGCTCACATCCCCTCATAGATTGTCAGTTGTATCTAGAACAGCAGGTCGGAAAAACAAAATGTCATGCAACACAGGGTTACATAACCAAAGGTAGCTGTAGCCTAGTTCTACAAAATATAGTCGAAAAACATGACAACAGCAAAACTACAGCAGCAACAGTGTGAAGGGCACCTTCTGATATTGCAATAGGAGAGATGTAAACTGACAAAAACAATTGCGAGTTTCTGGCCATCTCTCTAAAGACAGCAACATACAGAAGGCATGCAGGTCAGTGTGGAAGTTAGGATTTAATTGACTTCAGGTGTGTTTTTTTGGTAAAGATCTGTTTCATCTATTTTCTAATGGAAAATTAAAACATTTCATATAAAGATGGTTATACTGCAATTCTTTAGACATCATTTACTTAACATTTTCCATTAAAGAAAAGTTACAACAATGTTGGTGAATGTTTTCAATTTAAGTTGTTAAGGGGAAGTCATTTGAATCTGCAAAAAAAGGCAGGTCAGAATCTGTTAGAGAAATTGCAATCGGTGCATCTCTAGTTTAAAAAGCTTCTTACTGCAGATTTCTCTTTGAACATTATTCGTCGTTAATCGAATCCATGCAGCTTCAATTTGGAAATAGCTTGAAACAAATGGTGTGTTTGCACTCTCTGTGTCTTACTTGGCAGTCAACACACAGCTCCTCCTTAAATCTTAGGTAGTTAGTCGACGGCTGCATGTTTCACTTGTATCTGAAGTTGAGCTATAAACACCTTGAAACACACATCATCAAAGATATCATTTGATCCGTCATGTTTACACTCACATTTATTGGATAATCAATAACTGTTGATGGATAAGTGGCTGCTCTGTTTTTTATTTGAGTACTCTTTAGACAGTAATATGCTGTTGTTTTATGTTGTCCAATTATGATGCTATTAAGCTGTTTCTTAAAGATATCATTACAGTTAAAGGGCACAGCTGCCATATACATATATATGTAATCATCAAATCTATAGCCGCACACATTATGCAATATTTCTATATTTTTTCACTCCCATCTCTTAATGGTTCTTAAAATCAATAGCAGAGGGTACTTATGCCTCCACCGCCCACCTGTAATCATCTGACTTGATCTTTCTGTTTTTCTTTTACTCCCTGCAGAGCGGAGCTGGAAAAACATGGTTACAAGATGGAGACGTCTTAGAGGCTGACGAGCCAGTCTACGATGACATTGGATATGGACATTTATATTTGATTATTACTGGTCGACCCCACACTACCGGAAGACCGTTGATGATGTTAATTTGTTTCTTTTTTTTGTAAGAAATGCTGATGGAAGTAAAGTGTTTGGAGAAATAAGTTCCCTTTCAGTGTTTTTACTGATCGTTCATGACATTTATAGTTTATACTTTTGCTTATTTTAACATATATTTAGGTTATTAATATAGATTCTAATCTGGTGCTGCACTGGTCTAATATGGAAAAACTGAATTCCATTTCTTTAGCAATCACAGAAACATTGCTGAAAAATAGTATCTGTAAATTAATACCCAATAAATGCTTTCATACTTTCACGGCGCATTACTAATGGCTAAATGTAACTGATGCTGGAATGGTTACTACCAGAAAATCAAGCCTTCGTCCTCCCGTTTCACCTCATGTTTCCTTGCACTGCTCTTTTTCTTTCATGTAGAAACTAAATCCATCCATGCAGTTATTAGTTTCTGTATGAAAGATATCTCATTGTTTGGCTTGAATATCTATCAAGAGCTGTTGATCTCCGAAGCACACCTGCCAAGTCAACACGGTCTACCTGTAATGGGCGGCTTGTTATTGCCCTCTGACACAATGTGCATTTATTTTGAACTGCATTTATTTTTGCATGATTTTACTCGAGTTCAAGTGCACATCAGAATTCATCAGAGATATTTGTGATCATTTTGTAGCAACCATACTTTTATATTAGGCTCTGTTTATTAAAACTGTCAAAGGGATGTCAGCGTGACAGGAAGAGGGGTAAATGGAGATGTACATAATCTGTGTGCAGTGGAAGTACACACAATGCAAACAAGTGTGTGTAAGTGTGTTTGTGGTGCCTGATCGTCACACAGAGGCAGTTCCTGTATAACAGACCCCTTCCCTTCTCAGCCCCACAGCGCTGGGCCGAGTCCCTGAAGGAGAGATTATCCACTGCCGTATTTGTCAGAGGCGGGGAGGGGGTCTCAGCATGGGGCCCCCAGCCTGCCTTGCCTGGGCCTGCCCCTACTGCCAGCCAGGCCCTTCTCTTCCGCTTGGCACAGCGGGGACTCTCGTACTGAACCAGAGGCCAATTTATCCCCGCCACACTCCCCCGGCAAAATGATTTCTCTCAGTGTTTTGTCGACTCTCAGTCCCAGGGTCCTAATGAGCTGAAATAGATGCCAGTAAGACGGAGGCTTTCATGCTGAAAACAACATTCATCCTCTGCCTCGAGAAGTGCAAAGTTGACTAAATACTTTCTCTCTGGTATTATATTTACTTAGTTTTTGTAATTGTATTCATTGAAAATGTATTTTTTCCATGTAGTAACAAATTACTTTGAGTTTATTTTCAGAACACACGATCAGAAAGTCATGCTGTGTGTTCATACACTGCGGGAAATCAAAGTCAAGTCCGTAATCAAGTAAAAATGTAATAAATACTGTATATAGAATGAGAGACTTTAAACCTTTAAAATACAATCAACCTTTCCTGGGAATTTTTAGAAATTGAGCATCCCTTTTTTGAACCAAGAAAAACATAATCTTGATGCAACCAAAATTCTTCAAACAATAACACAAATGACAAATGTATTCAGTGTGTGAAGATTATTTTACCAGCAACTACTTCCATAAGAAAAGCCATCATTATCCTGTGAATGAAGCCACGCTCTGTTTCTGCTTATCCTTCATTACATCCTGTTTCTGAAGGCTTCAACACCAGGGTGATACTCCAGTTTCTACATTACAGATCTTTTAAACTGTTGATGCAACAAAAGTGTAATGGTTTTTATGACATGTTATAATCAAAGATGTTAAATCAATTAAAGTTTGACTGTAAGAGGGCTTTATTATATTGAAGCCACATTTTGAATAATTTCCTCACCACTGCCTTCTGCCTGTGGGTGGCCACTCCTAGTTGTTTTTCTTTGTTTCCTCTTATGGTCTGATTAACCCGCACAATTGACTGCTTTGCACCTGTATACATTTGGAAAGAGTTATTCAGCACTTCAAAGTGTTGCACTCAGATTTTGGCATTAAAGGCTGGACAAGGTGGAAGTGGAAATCTGTTGCTCAGGTCAAGCGTTTAACTGTTGGCTACTGAAAGCAGGATGACAAGCATCTGACAGTCTCATTCTCTTCTGGAAAAATGCAAAAAAATCCTTGTTTACTACTAGTTATTATCTCAATCAGCTGCATAGCACAGCCAAACAGCTCTCCTGGGCCCATATTATGATTGAAAAGACAATGCTCCAGCTGCTGCTGATATACATGTCAATAAAGAAAACAAATATTTTGTTGGCAAGGGCTGCGGGAAATCGAGCAAGGTCACATGCTCATGAAGTGAACTAAAAGAGCTCTGACTCCAACATAGGTGATCCTCAGATCTGTTTATGCCCTTGAAACTAAGGGCCCTGGGCCAGATGATTATTCTAAGTGTTGGGAAGTCGGTGAAGTGAGACAATTGGTAAGTGAGAGCAACAGAGGAGGACCTGTGACCATTTTGTTTGTGCTGAGAGCATGAGATTGGTCCCTTGTGTTTGACGCCATGAGGGCCTCGATGGGCCCTCAGATTTCAACCTCACACAGGACGCCAGCTTTTCAGTTTCTCTGCACTAGTTCTTCTTTGATCCCATTTAATCGTTTATTTAATTTGTGCAAGCATTTTTGTTGTTCCTTTGTGACCCACATGATTCCCCATGACATGTTCGAAGAGGCTCCCTGAGGCTCATATTGACTTACAGACGCCTGAAGAATAATCTGCCAATAACATGATTGAAAGCTTTTGTTGTTAACATTTTAAACAATGGATAACTTTTTTTAAAAAGTTGTCTTTGTGTAAGCGTTGACAATGTTTAGTCTTCATACAGTAAGCCGAGTGTATTACTTTCAACTCATTACATTCGGGGTCAGTCTATATGGTAACTACTGGATGCCGCAAATCCTATAAACAGATTCTGCTCTTTATGTGAGGCTAGATTTTTCAAAAAGCATTTTCTTATTTGCAAATCGTTTTTCCCCCGGCCCACGCAGTTCTGAGACCACATGACTCCATGCGAGAGAGCAGCCAATGGAACTGTGGCGAAGACAATTTCATAACACTTCATGTTGGGAGATGGCAGATCCATTGTTCTCAAGACCCACAGGCTTGTGGGCGAGAGTCCCTGCTGTGTCTACACTGAGGGAACACACCAGCCTCCCAGGCTATATTTTCCTCTTTCCTGCAAACACTGGAAGCTACTGTGACCATTCGAACTCTCCTCCCCGCTGCAGGCCTTGCTCTCTCTGCTTCTCCCCTCTCCAATCCGTTCACCACTGAGCCAGGGAAAAGACGAAGCTGTCTCTGCACAGCTAGGAAGCATGCAGCTGCTACTATAATAGCTGTAATTGCACATTTCTTTTGTTGGGAGGAAATTAGCGGCAGGGCTACAATAGTGCTAAAACCCCCCAAAACCTCCAAGTAAAGATGGAGGGGAGAGAGTTAAAAAAAAAAAAAAAAAAGACACTCGGGGTGCGTTCACCACTGAGACTGCCAACCCACAGCCGAATGGCCCACACCTGCACGCTCGCACCCCCGCTAAAGTAAACATAGATAATAAGGTATAATTACTTTAGAAAATAATAACGAGGAGCAACCCTTCAGACCCCCCTTCTCTCGTCGACAAAGGGCTGCCTGTTTATTGTGGGGGGTGAGACAGCCCCAAAGGACGCTGGCGAATGCCCCATCAAAAGACCTGAGGGCCCTACTGAGGGTCCCTTATAGGACAGCCATCATTGTCAAGGAGGACTGGGGCTTTTAAGTCGCTTCTACCCTAACTGCCTCAATTAACCAGTATGGATTGACCACAGGCTACTTTTCCAGCTCCATTCATCCTCATCAAAATGATCCTGTGTTGTTTTGAATGGTTCTCCCCTTTCTATTTTCTAAGACGAAATCCAGAATATGCATCATAAAAAAACGTACCTATAATATCATGTGGAAGTGAAGTAAACATAATAATAGATAGTCTTTTTTTAAAAAGCCTTTCAAATAGGATCAGAATAAAAGGATATTATGCCTGAAGCTTTGGATATAACATATTGTATCTTTTAGTTTTATTGACGCTTTTTAAGGTATTAATAATGTTGATTTCTCAGATTATGACGTTTAAAGTAGCCTATTGCATCATTGCTATCTTCCCATCAAGGACAACAATAGAAAAAATAAGGGTACTCGGGACATTAGCTATGGCCATTTCCATAAGAAAAGTGTCTTAAGGCCAAATTACCGATCTACTCCAATATTGAATATGTTCTTCACTGACCCATGCTACTCCATTTCACCAAGTTTCATTAAAGACCTGTCCAGTAGTTCTTTCATAATCCTGCTGACAGAAACAACCACAAACCACCTAGCTACACAGATACAATATCTTGGTTTTATTTCATGCTGGGAATTCTTTTTTTATTTGAGTCATCACAGTTCAGCAAAAAAAATGAGGATAAAGCCATGTGGACATGACACTGGATATTTAAGACAGTATGGGATCACGCTGCACTATCACTGCCACTTAAACCTGACTGTATTTTAACCCAATGTGACATGTTGGCACACAAAAAGAAACAGATGGGTATGTTTCAGTTTAACGCCATCCCTGGTGGTTGAGTCACTATGAAAACACAAGGCTTTGGTTTGATGTCAGGATGGATTATGAGTGCCACATTTCAGGCGTGCAGTTTATGACATGATCCATCTCGCAGGTCTTTGACACGTTAATGCATAATTTCACGTTGGTAAAAAAACTGAGAATGTATATACTTTGTACTGCCCTGCAAAGCATAAACTATATATTGGATACATTGAGTTTAGACCAGAGCAAAAATACAGACCATGCGATGGTCATGTGTTATGTTTTTTTTTTTCAGATACAGCACATGTAAAAGCATGAATTGATATGCAGCACCATAACAAAGTCTCCATCTCAAAAACAATCACACAGATAAATCTACATGCAGACATCAACATATGAATACAACCACATTAATCCAACCAGGTATAGTAGCCACAACTGGCCTACGCTGTGAAATAAAACACATTAGTGAAGTAGAAATCCTCGCTGAGTAAATGTTTTGCATCTATTTAACACAAGTCTTAGTGGAGTCCTGTACTTTTATCAACACAAAGGAGGGATAATATCTGCTTTGATTAAGGGTCTAATGTAAAGTGAATCACTGTTGCATGTGAGTCATTCTCATGCCATCATTAAACCTCAATGTGCAACGGAGCCGAACGGCCCTGCAAGGATGGCAGCGTGTTTTTAACTGTGACGTCTGTGGCAACAACACCCCCCTGT